AATTATGTCCCCACTGGATGCAACAAATGCCTCGTTTATAATGGGTTTTAATGTTTTTGTCTCGTCACTCTGGCCGGACAGAGCATCACAATATGGTAAGGGGCGTAACATTTCCGTCACATGCTTGAGGTATTCGGCCAATCACAATGCACTGGATAGCTGGCCAATCAGAACACACCTCGCTTTTCAGACCGATGAGCTTTGTAAAAATCGACGCGTTTCAGAAAGGCGGGGCATAGAGGAGAAACAATAATGTACAGTATGTGGAAAATAATGTGTTTTTTTAACCTTAAACAGCATAAACACATTTCATTACACCAAATACACAAATTAATGTTCTTTTTAGCAACATCATATGACCCCTTTAACAGTTATAGCATGAAAATAATTATTGGCTTATCAGTATCAGCCTTAATTGTAATATCAGTGCACTCCTAATTTTTATGGCTTTAATTAAAAAAAAATAATAATAATTTAGTATTTTTTCTCTCTAGAAATTATATAGAAAGGAAATGTATCCTCCCTTTAAACCAGTCATCCAGAGGCCAGATGACACATTGTACTTTGACTCAGAGTTCACTGCCAAAACCCCACGAGGTATGTAATGCCAATATTCACTTTCCCTAACAGTAGATGCATTTCTAATCACAATAATCTGTTGGTACTCACTTTACTTTTTCTTTTGACCCAGATTCTCCTGGTGTCCCTCCAAGTGCCAATGCCCATCAGCTCTTCCGAGGGTTTAGCTTTGTTGCCTCTGGAGTAGAAGAGGAGAGCCAGCCGCCCATTCAGAGCAACCTCAACATGAGCAGCATACTGCAGGTATCCTTGCATCATTCACACACTCCTCCTCTCTCACACCTGCAATATCAGTACACATGGGAATAAAGTGTATGCATGTATGTTATACAGCAACCCCACCGGAGCACGCTTCAGTTCACAGATGTATATGATGTTAAAGAAGACATTGGCATGGGCTCCTATTCCATCTGCAAGCGCTGTGTGCAAAAGAGCACAGGCGTGGACTATGCAGTCAAGGTAAATAGACCTCTACATCTGTGTTGTTACTGATATCTTTATGGTGCTTATAGTTTTATAGAAAGGTGTGTTGGCAGTTCTAATTGCTATGTCTAATTGCTAAGTTGTAAAAGAGGTGTATTAATATATTAATTGGTTTTTCAATATGTATGCAGCAACGTTCAAACTTTAGGGGCGGTACGATTGTAAAAGATTCACCAAGGCTGCATTTAGTCTCAATGGTTCTGATTGGATTGCAGATTATCAGTAAGGATAGGAGAGATCCAGCAGAGGAGGTTGAGATTCTGCTGCGTTATGGACAACATCCCAACATCATCACTCTGAAAGATGTGAGTGATGTTTGTTTGTGTGCCTGTAGATCACTTAGAACGGGAATGTCCCAGGTGTTGTCTCCCGTTATTCTGAGTCTTTGTGTGTTTATAGGTGTTTGATGATGGGCTGTCGGTGTACCTGGTCACAGAGTTGTTGAAAGGCGGAGAACTACTGGATAAAATCCTCCAACAAAAGTTTTTCTCTGAGAGAGAGGCCAGTGCTGTCCTGCACACCATTACAAAGACTGTTGAATATCTGCATGCCCAAGGGGTATGAGCATTCTCACACACATTCACACACAGCAAACATTACTGATTATTTAATTTAGCCAGGATAAATAAATACACTGTTAGACCATTTAAATATTCTTTTAGTATGCCTTAAAGGATTAGCTCACTTCCAGAATAAATGATTCCTGATAATTTACTAACCCCATGTCATTCAAGATGTTTGTCTTTTTTTCTTTAGTCGCAAACAAACTAAGGTTTTTGAGGAAAACATTCTAGGATTTTTCTCGATATAATGGACTTCAGTGGTGGCTAACAGGCTGAAGGTCTAAATTGCAGTTTCAATGCAGCTTCAAAGAGCTCTACACGATCCCAGCTGAGTAATCCCAGCTCTTATCTAGTGAAACGATGTGTAATTTTCTTAAAAAATAAAAATAAAAAAGTGTATATATATACTTTTTAACCACAAATGCGTCTTGCACTAGCTCGACTTCTTACGTAGTCACATTGGAAAGGTCACGTGTGACGTAGGCAGAAGTACCAACCCTGTGTTTACAAAGCCAATGCGCAAAAAAAGTCAAATGCCCTTTACAAAAAAAAAGGTAAAAACCAGATGGAGTTTTTCACCCTACCCTACCTTTTTGATCTGGAGTACACAGACAGAGAGCTAACCGCACATGACCTTTGCAACGTGATTATGTAATGCTTGAATTTGCGGATTTGCATCACAGAGCTAGTGCAAGACGTGCATTTGTGGTTAAACAGTATATACATTTTAATTTATTTTAGAAAATGACCAATCGTTTCACTAGATAAGACCCTTATTCCTCAGCTGGGATCATGAAGAGCCCTTTGAAGCTGCATTGAAACTGCTTGAAACCAGATTAGACCTTCAACCCTTTGGCCACCATTTAAGTCCATTATGTGGAGAAAAATCCTGGAATGTTTTCCTCAAAGACCTTAATTTCTTTGCGACTGAAGACAGAAAGACATGAACATCTTGGATGACATGGGGGTGAGTAAATTATCAGGAAATTTTTATTCTGGAATTGAACTAATCCTTTAAAAGTCATGCACCATCACTTTTACAACCCATTCAAACTTGTATGGGTTGTATGTTTATAATGTATATTTATTATGGCTAATAGATTGGCACTGTGGTTGCAGGTAGTACACAGAGACCTAAAGCCCAGTAATATACTGTATGTGGATGAATCGGGCAACCCAGAATCAATCAGGATCTGTGATTTTGGTTTTGCCAAACAACTCAGAGCAGAAAATGGACTGCTGATGACACCATGCTACACTGCTAACTTTGTTGCTCCAGAGGTACCTGTTGATTTGTTTTAGATGAGAGTCTAGATCTATTATATTTTTGTAAGTTATTTTCAACACTCTTGTTATTATTTATGTTTGTGTTACCCACTCAGGTCCTGAAGAAGCAAGGCTATGATGCAGCTTGTGATATCTGGAGTCTTGGAGTTCTCCTTTATACCATGCTTACAGGGTAAATTAACACACAATACAAGTCAGACTTTCTGCATGCAATTTTCTTAATACAGTTAATGTTGCGTATGGATGATGTAGCATGATTTAGTTCAAAAACAATATTCATGTCAGTTTGAAAACTCACCACTCGTATCCATCCTTCAGGTTCACTCCATTTGCTAATGGCCCGGAAGATACGCCGGAAGAGATTCTGACTCGGATCGGCAGTGGGAAATTCTCCCTGTCTGGAGGATACTGGAATTCTGTATCGTTTGAGGCTAAGGTTGAAGGCTCTCCTTTTGTTTACAACACTTCCTTAGCCTAATCGATCTATGTACAGTATTTGATGTATAATCTTCTAACCTTTTTGATGACAGGACCTGGTATCAAAGATGCTTCATGTTGATCCTCATAAGAGATTGACTGCTGCTCAAGTTCTTCGTCACCCATGGATAGTCAACAAGGACCAGCTACCAAAATACCAACTCAACCGCCATGATGCGCCTCATCTAGTGAAGGTTTGCTTTGCAATAACAGTTTCAAATGTGAATCTAACAAATGGTTCTGAAACTGAATCATGGGTTTCCTTGTCAGCTCAACATTCCTGCATTATCATTATCATTATAATACTTAATGCTTATGTTTGACTATATTCTTATTAATATTTTTCCCTTTTATCACAGGGAGCAATGGCAGCCACCTATTCAGCCTTAAACAGAAATGTTTCTGCTGTACTGGAGCCCGTGGGTTGCTCCACACTCGCTCAGCGCCGTGGTGTCAAAAAGCTGACCTCTACTGCCCTGTGACCACTCAGATCTAACCCTAAACTACTGTCGTCATGGAATGGCAGCCCAAACCAAAAAAAACAACACTTTTTTTTTTTTAGTTCTTGTCATTCATCATCGCTACTTCATCATGTAAAATATTATAGAAAGCTCTTAGGAGAATATTAAGTTCATGTACAATTGTTTTATGAAAATACCCTTGAAATGTACTTCGTATGGAATTATATATGAATATAAAAGTATTTCCGTCAGTCTGTGTAGAGATATGGTGTATGATGTTAAGAGACTGTGATACACCGTTTGTTTTCTGTATTGTGTGGTAATGATGCCATATCTGGCGACTGCATGGAACTGTACTATTGCTAGCGTCATTATCTGATCATAGCTGTTCCCATCCTCTTCAAGACAGACCTCACATGCTGAAATGGCCTACTCATTTCCTTTTAAAAGAAAGAGCTGCCAGTCAGTAATGCCACTATATGCAACTTCAGATGGTGTTTAAACATGGTGCAGTGTTGAAACCATTTGTGAAATCAAAGAGAACTATGCAAGTAAACGTACAATCATCATTGTATGTCCCTAGAAATGTAGTGTGTTTATCACAAACCAAGTATTTTGTGTTGATATAGTGTTTTAATTGGGCAAAGTGGTCCAAAAACACTTTGTCATGCACATGTGTCTTAAAGGGCATTTGATTAGCAAAAAAAGCAATCCAAATAGTGACCTCATCCATCAAAGACCAATACCCTTCATATAAGAGCTAATCATCAGAACTTGTATAAGACCCCTTGTATGCTGTATCTTTCATAATGAATATGGTAACATTACATAGGAGCTGACGTTATATGGATATATAATGGCAGGTGTTTTTGTTTTAGTTTTTACTGGGAATGACCAGTATACTGCTGTCTTACTCTAAAGTGATTCGTAACACTCCACTTTTTGTATTTCTTTGTTCATTCTCTTCATGAAATTAAAGGGAAATATGCAGGCTATATTAACCAAGATTGTTCCAATTTTCTCAATCATAATTTGAAAGACTATTCAGATTGTATTATTTTTATACCGGGCGATGAACTGTTTTTTTTTTTTTAATGTTACTGTATATGTATGACTGTATGTGAGGCTACATGTTTGGTGAGAGTCTGGCATGTTCATTCTCTTCATGAAATTAAAGGGAAATATGCAGGCTATATTAACCAAGATTGTTCCAATTTTCTCAATCATAATTTGAAAGACTATTCAGATTGTATTATTTTTATACCGGGCGATGAACTGTTTTTTTTTTTAATGTTACTGTATATGTATGACTGTATGTGAGGCTACATGTTTGGTGAGAGTCTGGCCACAGGCGGTGTCCTCTTGTTCTGGAATTAATTTACATGAATTAGTCAAACTCTTCTTTTTTTATTGTTGCTGCTGTATTTTAATAATCACAGTGCAAGTGAGAAATATGTCCTAGTGGTCTCTCCTGGCCTCTATTATATATCACTGGCCATGTGTTTTTCCCCCCAGCACATTTGTACTTGGGAGAGCAGGTTTTTATTCCTGGGTTAAAATTAATGTGTCTGATTAAGTCAAATAAACCTTGCAAAACAGTTTTTTGTTTTTCTTAGAATTACTCATCAGCATTGAAACCTTGAAAATGTATTGTCCTCAATGAACATGTTCTGGCGCTTTGTATTAGGGATGGGCGTATCGATCCAAAGTATCGATATATCGATACTGACAAGTCAAATAAACCTTGCAAAACAGTTTTTTGTTTTTCTTAGAATTACTCATCAGCATTGAAACCTTGAAAATGTATTGTCCTCAATGAACATGTTCTGGCGCTTTGTATTCCAATGAAATTGTGTCTTTGAGACTATAAATAAAGTTTTTATGTAAAATCAGGTTTTGCGCAGGCGTAGATTATTGCTGAAGGGGAAGTCTTCAAAAAAAGGGAGAGGAATTATTTGACATCCTCCTTGAAATTTAACATTTCTTTATTCGAATACTTTGTTATACGACATCACTGAACAAAGACAGCAGTATTTGTAATCCGAACATGCCAAAGAATAAAGGTAAGGGAGATATAATCACCTTTATTGTTTAGTCAGTTGTTAACGGAGCTGAATTCAGCCTCGCTCTCGCGCTGACACCCCCGGCCTTTGCGAGCAACGCGGCGGCAACGAGACCAGCACAAGCGCTGCTTTCAGCCAAACCACGATGTAGTGTGATATCGAGGATGAAAAAAATATTCAGAGGCCCAAGCTGAGCAAAAATATGCGATTTGGTGAAATACTGATAGCTTGTAATGTAATCACATAATGTCTTAGAAAAGTGATATTTAATTATTAATTTTATGATCAAAGCTCTGTAGTTTAATTTTTATTGTAACGGCAAAATATAAAGTAATGCAATTAAATGATTGAGAGATGTACAAATAAACCCAATTTTGTCAAGTAAAAAAAAAAGTATGTATGTATATATATATGTATATGTGTGTGTGTGTGTGTATGTATATACAGTGGTGTGAAAAAGTGTTGGCCCCCTTCCTGATTTCTTATTTTTTTGCATGTTTGTCACATTTTTAATGTTTCAGATCATCAAACAAATTTAAATATTAGTCAAAGATAACACAAGTAAACACAACATGCCGTTTTTAAATGAAGGTTTTTATTATTAAGGGAAAACAAAATCCAAAACTACATGGCCCTGTGTGAAGAAGTGTTTGCCCCCCTGTTAAACCTGTGGTTTATCACACCTGAGTTCAATTTCTCATATTTAAATTTGTTTGATGATCTGAAACATTAAAGTGTGACAAACATGCAAAGAAATCAGGAAGGGGGCCAACACTTTTTCACACCACTGTATGTATATGTGTGTGTATGTATTTATTATTTAAAAGCCTGTAGCTGGATCATCAAGTAAACCTAAGTTGCTTCAGTTCAGTAAATGTTCATCAAACATAAGTTATTTGTGTTTTAAGTTTTCGTAGCAAAAAGACATATGTACCACAACCTGGAGGGGGACATATTTAGAATTATACTAAAAGGCCTTTTACTAAAAAAGTATAAACTATCAGTCAGAGGGCAAAAGGAATGCATAATTCTTGCATGAAATACGATACAGTAGGCTTTATAGAGTTAAAGTGAATATTTGGAGATAAAATGAATCCCTATCAGCCCCTATCCCTATATCCCTTTTACTACATGTACAGTGTGTCACGTGTCTGTAAATGGTTGTACAAGTGTCTATTGGAATATTTTTCATTTGAATTTAATTTAATTGAGCATTTTGGATTGTAGCTTTTAGAAAAGGTGATATCATGGATGAGAGAAGGAACTGAAATAAATGAGAAGGTTTAATATCTGTTTATTACATTCAAGGTAATTAAGAGTCCTTATTTAATTTCTTTAGGTAAAGGAGGAAAAAACCGGCGGCGTGGTAAGAACGAGAACGAGTCAGAGAAGAGAGAGCTGGTTTTCAAGGATGATGGCCAGGGTAAGTAGTTGAAATAGTTTGGCCGGTCTGTATATGTGCAAATAAATGATCATTTTCACCACATCACTTTTGCACAATGGTTTGGGGTGTTTTTTTAATTTTATGTTTATTCAGCAAGGATGCATTAAATCAGTGGTTCTCAGTGGGCCTCACTGCTCTGCACATTTTGTATGTCTGTCTTATCTAAGACACCTATTACTTGAGCAGCAAATCAGCATATTAGAATGATTTCTGAAGGATCATGTGACACTGAAGACTGGCGTAAAGGCTGCTGAAAATTCAGCTTTGCATCACAGAATTTAATTACATTTAAAAATATATTCAAATAGAAAACATTTACTTTAAATTGTAATAATATTACTGTTTCTGCTTTATTTTTGATTGGTTCTTCCAAAAACATTAAATATTATTGAGCCCAAATGTTTGAACTGTAGTGTGTGTGTGATGATGATGATGATGATGATGATGATGATCTTCAGTTCCAAGAATTGCCCTTGTCTTGTCTTGTGCTAGAATATGCTCAGGTGATAAAAATGCTGGGAAATGGACGGCTAGAGGCCATGTGCTTTGATGGGGTCAAGCGGCTCTGCCACATTCGAGGAAAGCTCCGGAAAAAGGTATGATAATGTTGATTATAACCCTCATCTGTAAGGTTTATGGATCTGAATGACTGTCATATTTCTATGGTTGTATGTTATTGATAATTTCACTCATTTTATCTCTCTTATTTCTGCTTGTTTTTTTTAACTTTTTTTCTAGCCCAAGTAATAAACAGATTGTCATTCTCCTTTAGGTTTGGATCAACACATCTGACATAATCCTTGTTGGTCTTAGAGATTATCAGGTAGGATTTTTTTGGTAATTTATCAATTGTTGTTTTTTTTGTTTTAAATTTAAGTTTTTGAATTTTTGAATGTGTTTGACAGAATACCAAAGCAGATGTCATTTTAAAGTTCAATGCAGATGAGGCCCGCAGTCTTAAAGCCTACGGAGAGCTTCCAGAACACGGTGAGTCTCAAACTGGCTTTACTCAGTTTCTGACTTCTGTTTTATGGAAATGTCATGGTACTAAAACAAATCACCCACAATTGTAAGTGTCAGATGATGTAGATGTATGCAAGTAAAGACTCTTATTTCTTTCCTGCAGCTAAAATCAATGAAACTGACACATTTGGACCTGGAGATGATGATGAGATTCAGTTTGATGATATTGGGAGTGAAGATTAGGACATTGATGACGTAAGTGTTTGATTGTTTTGATAATTACTTTTTCTTATATAAGTTACAAATATCGAAGTGCTGGAATCTATATCTATCTATATAATTTCTATTGCCTGTATAGTTATTTCTACTGTACTATAAAACTGATATACACTAATATTCAAAAGTTTGGGTGAGTTAGTTTAGTTTTTTGTTTTTATTAATACTTCAAGAAATTAATACTTCTATTCAGCAAGGACACATTAAATTGCACAGTGACAGTAAAGAAATGTATAATGTTACAAAAGATTCCTACTTTATAAAATCCAGAAAAAAATTGATCACCGTTTTCACAAAAATATTAAGAGGCATAACTGCTTTCAGCGTTGATAATGATAATAATAATAATAAGAAGAGGAATGTTTTTTGAGCACCAAATCAGTATATTAGAATGATTTCTGAAGGATCATGTGACACTAAAAACTGGAGTAATGGCTGCTGAAAATTCGGTTTTAAAAAACATTTTAAATTGTAATAATATTTAGCAATATTACTGTTTTTACTGCATTTTTTAAAATCAATTTAATGTAGCATTGTACAGCATAAGAGTCTTTGACAACATTAAGAAACATTAAAAGTCTTATTGACCCCAAACCTTTGAATGGTAGTGAAGATATGCATTATTGATCTATTAAGCATAAGCAGTAACTTTAAGGAAACGGAATGTTTTAACTGTGTCTGACTGATCTGGTCCCCCAAGCGTCTCTTTTAAGGTTAAAACAACATACTGAAGTGTTTGGGAGAACCTATACCTTGATGTGTTTGTGTTCATTTCTGTCCTCTCCCACAGATCTGAGTCGGGACTGCTGGTGGGTTATATTGTTTACTCTGAGAGGAGAGAAAACTTCCTTGTTGGGGAAAAATTGCAACTTGGGCATAACTGGTGCCCAATATCCTACTGCAATGGCCTTCAGAGAAACACTCAGAGGCTTATTGCTTATCTGTTTCTCTCTCCACCACCTAATTTCACTACAAGCCTTCTCCGAGCATTCTGTCACACAAATCGCTCTCTTTCACATTTAATGACAACCACACAAGATAGACTGCATAGTTTTGTTACGATTTTAAAGTATTTATATTGTATTCCACTGTATGTGGTGGAATTTAAAATGCAAAGAAATCCAGAATTTACAATAAAAGGTCGAGCCTTTTATCTGTTTGGATTGAATTTGATCTCTTGTATATTATTTCTTGTATTTTATTTTCTCACTTTACACTGTCTCTTCCTCATGGCATTTGCATGCATTTCTGCTGTGCCTGAAATAAAAATATATATTTTTATTTTTGTTGTTGTCCTCTCGGTTTGTACGGAATGGAAGTAGCAGTGACCTGTTTTGTCCACTATTTTGCAGTGTTGCCTACGAGTTGGCAATTTCTTTGTTTCCTGATAATGAATTGTTTACAAACCATACATTCATAACCTTTGGTAGACGTTTCTGTCCTTGACCTTGAGGTGTACACTGAATTTGATCTCTTGTATATTATTTCTTGTATTTTATTTTCTCCCTTTACACGGTCTCTTCCTCATGGCATTTGCATGCATTTCTGGTGTGCCTGAAATAAAAAAATATATTTTTATTTTTGTTGTTGTCCTCTCGGTTTGTACGGAATGGAAGTAGCAGTGACCTGTTTTGTCCACTATTTAGCAGTGTTGCCTACGAGTTGGCAATTTCTTTGTTTCCTGATAATGAATTGTTTACAAACCATACATTCATAACCTTTGGTAGACGTTTCTGTCCTTGACCTTGAGGTGTACAAATTCTGGTTAAAAATGGTAATAGTCTCTATAAGTATTAGAGGTTTTCTAATTCTGTGTAGAATTTTTTTTTAGATTCAACATTGATAATATGTGTGGGCCACAAATCTCTTTCTCTCTCTCTCTAATACGTAATACATAAACGGAAACGTTATATTCAACGGAAATGAAAAGACCTTTTGTCGAAAAAAATAGAAAGCCTTAATTTAAGCCTATACTGGATTTTAATTACATATTTTTTCCTTAAATAATTGGTTCGCCTAAATGTGTAATTCGACAAGTTTGGGTTGTGGACGTGGGCCGCTGTGG